TTTGTCCTTTGAATGCCTGCGCTGGGAAACTCCTGAGATCCAGGAGACCGAGAGCTGTCACACTGGAGAGACGGTGAGAGACAGCAGGAAGTGGAGGCAGAGAAACAGGGGAGGCAGAGGAGCAAACCAAGAGATGGCAACAAGACGACAGGAGGCAGTACAGTGGGTTTCCCAGCCCGTGCAGTGAGACAGCTGAGTGCCTTCAGGCAGGAGGCTTGTTGGCAGAATGGGGTTCCTGTCTGAGCACCTATCAGCAGAGATACAAGAGCTCTGTGACACTTACTTGAGCAGGGCACAAGCCAAGGGGTTGTGTGTAACACTTGCTTGAGCAGGGCACAAGCCAAGGGGCTGTGGGACCAAGGGTCAGAGTGAGGCATGCCTGCTGGCACTGCTGAGAAGAGGCTGTGCCAATCAAAGAACTGTATCTTGAGTCATTTCTAATCCTGAACTGTAATGTTACTTCCTAATAAATCCCATAATTGTGAGTATTGTCTGTGAGTTCTGTGTGTCCATTGCAATGAATGATTGAACCCAGCAGAGAAGCAGAAGGTGCTGTAGGAGTGATGGTTGGTGTCAGAATTGGTTAGGAAAAAAAAAAAAAAATGGGTTGGAGGGTGGAGGCATGTCCAACCTCCACCTGACAGGAATCAGCTTTGGGCTACTGATGCAAATGATTCTTTCTCCCTTTGTAAACTTAGAGGAGATCAGACACCACCCCCTTGTCATTGTCACAGTACCTATATCCAAAGCTCAATGGTATCAATCAACATTTAATTGACTTGATTATTTAGCAGCAGTATTTGCATCTCAGGTAGGACTTGAAGATGTTATGGAACATGTGGAAATATTAACCAAATATGTACAAACTGCCCTAAATGACAGTGCCTAGGGACTTCAAGAGGAGCTCTGGTAGCATAGTGCCTAAGGCACTTGACTGCTAACCAGAAGGCTGGCGGTTCAAACACATCAGCCACTCCTCGGAAGGAAGGTTGGGCAATTTACTTCTGTAGTGATACTGCCTCGGCAACCCAAGGAGGGGTCGCTATGAGTCAGAGCCGACTTGAAGGCACACAACAACAACAACAACAGGGACTTCAAGAGATCAATACCAAAAACACAATTATGACAAAGGTAGTTCTCCAAAACGGAGTGGCCCTTGACATTCTCACTGCAGCTCTAGGGGGTACCTGTGCCATGATAAAACTGTATTGCTGTGTCTACATCCCTGACAATAGTCACAATATGACACTCTGTAATCATATGTAATGTGCAATATCTCACCTTAACAATCCTGTTCCTTCCTTAACTGAAAACATAAGTAATTGGGTTTCCTTTTGGGGTGGATAGTGACAAACATTGCCACTCTATTTTTTAGTCTATTCCTCATTTCTGTTATTATAATTATAAAATGCTTTTTGGCTTTAGTTCAGTACATTTATTACAATTATAAAATGCTGTTTGGATTTAATTCAGTACATTTTATTCATGGAATGCTCTGTTTCTATACCATTTGATCCTTCACATAAAGCCATGTTGACTTCACAGGCTTTCACCGCCGGTATTGTTTAGTCACCTCCATTTTGTCTCCTTCAGTATGTTTCACCTTGACCTCTGTCATTGTGTTCTGGCTAAAAAATATTCCTCAGAATGTGGTCTTGTCCATTAAGATGTTCCCTGTAAAACCTACTCACCCTGTAGATGAGGCCTATTAGGTGGCTAAGGTGAACAGATAATTTTTATTAAGCAAAGTTCCTTAAGAAAACAAAGTCTTTGCAGAAAAAAAGGAGGGGTCGCTATGAGTGGGATCCAACTCAATGGCAGTGAGTTTGGTTTTTAGGTTTTGGTGGGCGATCAGCGCCCCCTAGTGGAATCTTGATCAAAAGAGAGAAATGCAAGCAGAAAAGTTTCAATCTGGAAGCACTCATGTCAGGTGTAAGAATGATGAGGCCAACATGCACTTCCAGGAAACAAAATATTAGGGTGTAAACCATCTGGGAAGAATGAGTCAAGATGTAATCAACATGTTCCCAGAAAAAGTATATTCATGACTACAATTGTGTGTAATCAGCTACAATAATGGATAATTAAACCAGCTGATGTTACTCACCTAGGTGATAACTTGCTCCTTCTTGGCCAGGTTGTGGACCTTTCATTTCTAAGTACTTCAAGCTAAAGCTGATCTTATCTACATCCAGTCACTAATCGCCTACTTTCCTTTGTTATCTGTGTATATAGACCCCTCTCTCCCCTTGAAGGAGCTCTGGTGGCACAGTGGATAAAGCATCTGACAGCTAACCAGGTCAACGGTTCGAACCCCCTTGCTTCTCTGCAGAAGGAAGATGGGGTGATCTGCTTCTGAAAGATTCCCAGCTTCAGAAACCCAGTGGGGGTCGCTATGAGTCAGAACTGACTCGATGGCAGTGAGTTTGGGTTTGTTTTGCTCTCTCTTTGAAGGATGATGGAGTGCTTTGCAGTTTTACTTGGAGCTGCCCAGCTGGAGCTGTATGAATTTTCAATAAAACTCCTTTTCTTTCATTCTTAACAGAGTATGAGGTTTTCTTTGACAGGACCCTCGTTTGCAGGCCCTTTGCACAGTGAGGATGTGGGTGTGTTCAAGCCCCAGGCCCTTGGATTTTGGGGTGGCATTGACGTGGTGTTGGCCACCCAGCCATGTTCCAGCCCTGAGCCTCACTGGGATTCCTTCCACTCCAGAGCAGCTTTGTTCCCTGTCCTGACCTCTAGTCTCAACCCCAGCCTGCTGTGGGGACCCCCTAGCCAAGGCAAGGGGTGCCGGGGAGTGGCTTATAGCTATTGTGAAGATTAAAAAAAGCCAAATACAAGCCGTGTTTTTGTCACATTTTGTCTTGTTTTGTCTCTGCCCGTTGATAATTCGAATTTCCTCCTGCTGATCTGCAGGTCTGATTGGCAGTGCCAGATTCCACTATTAAAATAGGGAGAAAGAATGAACAGTTTGATAGGCATAAGGTCCAAATAGGGTGTAAGGTTGTGCATCGACTTAGCTGGGCGTGACTCGGAGCAGTTGGATGCAGTTATTCCCCATGATGGGATTGGATGTGGTGTAATCACCTCCATGGAGGAATCTGCTGTGAGCAGCTAATTAGTTACCTGCAGGGTGTGGCCTGCTTCCAGTATATGAGAGGAAGCTTTGAGGACGGTCTCTAGCTTTTGGGCACATTTTGGATTCTATTTGAATCTTCATCTCCACTTCCTGTGTGTGCTGTGTTGCCTGTTGACCTTGGGACTGTGCCGTTTTCCCTGCCGGCCTTGGTTCGTCTCCTCTGCAGCCTGCAGATGCCTGAGCTGGGAGATGCCTCCAGCTCCGGTGGGCCTGGAACAGGAGGCAGGGCTGAATCCCAAGGTCGAGAAGCCTTCACCCAAGCTCCTGGAGCTGGCACTCTGAATTTATACTTCTAAATTGTAAGAGAGTAAATTCCTGTTTGTTAAAGCCATCCCCTTGTGGTATTTCTGTTATAGTGACACTAGAGAACTTCAAGGCAGGGGGGATCCCTTGCTTCCCTGAGTTTGTAAGCAACCCTGCAGGCCCAGTGATGTAATCAAAGTCATTTTAAACATTGTGGGACACAGATCCGGCATTTGTAGCACACTGGGAGGTGGCTGTGGTGGGCTGCGTGCCTGGGGAGCCCACCATTTATTTTTATAAATTGAAGATCTGATTGGGAATTGGGCACAGACTCTTGGAGTGTTAAAAAAAAAAAAAAAAAACCTCATTAAAAGGGCTCTTTCCTACTACCCTCGAGGCGGACCCGACTCATAACGACCCCTCCTGGGGTTTCCCAGGCAGTATCACTAGGAAAGTAGATTGCCCAACCTTCCTTCTGAGGAGTGGCTGGTGGGTTTGAACAGCCAGCCTTCTGGTTAGCAGTCAAGCGCCTTATGCACTACACCACCAGAGCTCCCAAAAGGGCTTTTAGGTACTGAAACGTTAGGAACCAGAGCCCCAGACTATAAACTCTGAATAACAGCTTCTTAGCACCTTGCCTCCCCCCCCCAATTATACTTTTAATTTTTTGAGATAATTAAGTCTACCACTGGTAACATCTTATAAAACTATACAATACAGGATATGCCAGGATACTGATGCTGATCTATCATTCCATCTCCACAGGGGTCCCTCATTTCCTTTTAACAGCCACCCTCACTTTCCTACCTCCACCCCCTCCTTAACTCCTGGCAGCCACTAACCTGTTGGCCATTTCTATCAATTATTTGCTTGTAAAAAGACCCTGTTTTTTTTTTTTTTCATAACCAGAAAGTCAAGGAGCCCTAAATTAGGTCCTGAGGCTTTGTTCTGCACCAAGGGAAATGTATCTTCGGGATGCAGGGCACAAAAGCTGTCTCAGAACCAGAACGCAGGGCCCAGTGGAGAGGGGCAGGCCCACAGCGGAGTCCCAGGACTCAGGGCCATTCCCATGTTGGCTGCATCTCCTGACTCCCGGGCCAGGTGCTCTTCACTTCGGCTACAATCGAGGATCCGCAGAAGGAATGTTGCCTTCCGCTATTTCATCTCCCTACTTACCCCTCAAAGGAGCCCCGGTGGCGCAGAGGCTAAAGCACTCATCTGCCAACCGAACAGATCGGCAGCTGGAACCCACCACCCCCCTGGAGGAGAAAGATGAGGCAGTCTGCTTCCCTTGGAAACCCTGTGGGGGTAGTTATGCTCTTTCCTATGGGTTTGCGACGAGGCGGAATGGACCCAATGGCAGTGGGTTTGGGTTTTTTTTGGTTTTACTTATCCCAACACAGGCCGCGTTTCAAACTCCATTGGCTCCAGGAGGCTCTTAGCACCCCCGGGGACTTTGGGAGGCTGGGAAAGATGGAGCCAAGCAAGAGTGAGGGGTGGAGGTGTAGGCAGGCGGCCGCATTCCGTTCACAGAGCCCGGGCTTGCAAGCCTAGGGCTGCCACACACAACCCGAGAACCACTTCATCACCCTGGAGGGTACCCCGTTGCTAGGGGCGTTGCCAAGGAGGGGCCACGAGGAGGGGCTCACTTCCGGGAGGAGGGCAGCTGGTAACCCGGAAGCGGTTAATTGTGCGGCGCTGTTTAAAGATGGCGGCGGAGGAACCTCAGCAGCAGAAGCAGGAGCCGCTGGGTAGCGACTCCGAAGGTACTGACCCGAGGAGGGATGTTTGGCCAGGGCTGGAGGGGCTGATGCCGGGCCGGCCGGCCGTGAGGAGCTTGAGGAGGCTGGGCCGCCGGCCGTCGGCGCGAGGCGCGCAGGCGGCCCCTGCCTCCGCCTCCGCCACCCTCCCCTCCTTCTCCCTCCCCTCCCCCTTACAATGGAAGGAGCCGCCGCCGCGACCCCCGGCCGGGCGGGCGGAGGCCTGGGCCCTTCCTTTCGCGCCCGGGGCGGGGCCTGGCCCGCCCCGCCTCCGCCCCGCCCCTCGGCCCCGGGCCCGGGGGCCGAGCCCGCGCGTCCCTGTCCGAGCCCGAGGGCTGAGGCCTAGGCCGGCCGCAGCCCCCGGAGGCAGTCCGTGGCCGGAGGCCGTCGAGTTCCGCCGGGGTGAGCGGGGCTGCGGCGCACAAAGGGCCGGCGGGCCATTCGGGCTGGTGAGCGGACTTGGGTGGCTGAGGGCTGCAGCCTACCCTGGCTGTCCCAGGTTCCGTTTTCTCCGACCTCTAGGGAGGTAGACCTTCCGCACACGGCCCCGATTGTGCGGGCGGCGGTTTACAGCGCCCACCCTGCCCTTTCCCACCTACGAGCTGGGCCCTGGGGACTGAGTAGGCCACTTTGGTGGGAGGGACAGCCTTGCTGCAGGGCTGGGTACCGGATGGTCCGAGAATCCGGGATGCTCAGGCCGAAAAGGACCCTTCCTGGTTGTTCCCAGCACACACACGGACACATGCACATTTACGGGCACACCCGGGGCACTGACACGGAAACCCAGGCCCCTAGGAAGAGGTTTGGTTCCCATCTCCTGCCATAAGAAAGCACCAAGACCAGATTTGAGGTCTCCTGGCTCCTCACCCAAGGCTGGACCCTAGTGAGTCTGCAGCATTGAAGCATGTGTGCCTTAGTCCCCTTACTCCTGACATTTCAGTGATTGCAGGAAGATGGTGAGATTAGCCCCATTTTACAGATGAGGAACTGAGGGAGCAGAGGAGAGGCCTTGTGGGGAAGAGTTGAGACAAGAATGAGACAAAACTGAGTTTGACCAACTAGCTGTGACCTTGACCTGATTACTTCACCTCTCCACCGTAGTCATTTGCAAAACGGGCAACGTTAACAACAGGACTGCAGGAGGGTGAAGGGTGTGATTGGAACGGGCAGGCTCACAGGATGGTCTCATCCAACTCACGACTCTGCTGCCTCATTTTCCTTACTTTCCCCGAGGGACCCGCCTGGCCTCAGAGCAGCCTGGAGGCTTCTGGGAAGTGATGCTGGAAAGAGGGGAGGGAGGGCGTATTAGAGCTGGAGTTGTGAATCTTAGGGGTAATCAGCTCTACCCACTCCTTTGAAAAGCGAAGAAACAGGTGCAGAAGGGGAAGTGACTTGGTCAAGATCACATAGTCGGGGTGGAGCTGGGTATAAGACGCATGCTTCCAGACTCCCAAGTCCTTCTGCCCCGCGCTGCTCGTGTCCCGGCCCACCTGGCTGGAGTGGCAGTGGCTGGGAGCCCTCTAATCCTCAGCTTGTGCCTTTTTCCAGGTGTCAACTGTCTGGCCTACGATGAAGCCATCATGGCTCAGCAGGACCGTATTCAGCAGGAGGTGAGGGGCTGGGGGGCAGTGCCCGGGGCTGCCCTGTGGAGCTGCGTAGGCTGGCCCGAGGCCTCGGCCCTCTCCCCCCCCGGGCTGTGCTGGGTACTGGGTGCCCTTCCTCTAGGTGGCCTGGCTATCAGGTGTGGGTCACCAGGTCTGCCTGGCAGAACGTGATGGTTCTCCCGCCCCCTGCAGATTGCAGTGCAGAACCCTCTGGTCTCGGAGCGGCTGGAGCTCTCGGTCCTGTACAAGGAGTATGCTGAGGATGACAGCATCTATCAACAGAAGATCAAGGTGGGGACTTGGCCAGAGGGGCAGGAAGAGTCCTGGGCTGAAGGTGGGACGGTGTCTGCCCCCATAGGGTCCAGTGGTGGGGAGTGTGCCAGCAGCTGGCTTTTTGTGCTGGCTCTGGCGTCAGAAGGACCCGGTTCACATCTTGACTCTGCCACTTAGCAGCTGTATCCTTGGCAAGCCCTTCACCGTTTCTGTAAAACGGGTAATGAAGGCACCTGTGGGGGAACGTTGGTGGTTCAGTAGCGTTGTCACCTTCCATGGGGGGAGACCTGGTTTAATTCCCGGCCAGTGCACCTTAGGCAGCCACCACCCGTCTGTCATTGGAGGCTTTGTAGCTACGATGCTCAACAGGTTTCAGCAGAGCTTCCAGATTAAGGAGGACCAAGAAGGCAGCCTGGTGACCTGCCTCTAAAAGGAGCCATGGAAGCCCCATGGGTGGCAGCAGTCTGGCCCACGGCGCCTGGTGGGGATTGGGGTGGCGCAGGCCCAGGCCCTTTCTGCTCCATTGTGTCACGGGGTCCCCACGAGTCGAAGGGCAACTTGCTGGCTCCTGACGACAGCCCATAGCATAGGGTGGTTATGAGGTAAAGGGGGACGATGCCTGCGTGAGGCCTGGCTCAGAGCTGGGGGGCACTGAGTGCTCACGTGGGCTCTCCAGGCTGGGGTTGCGGCAGAGCCATGTCCCACAGACTGCCTCCTGGGTCCTTACGGGAAGGCAGGCAGCTGCTGGGAAAAGAGGCCTTCAGACCTTTCTGCAAGGCCTGCTGTGTGACTCGCAGACTGCAGGAGTCACTTAACCTCACAGGGTCTTCACTAGTGAGGCGGGAAGGTTTGAATGATGATGGGTAATAGGCACAGAGTGGGGGCTGGTAAATGTTCCTCATCCCACCCTCCACCTCCCCAAGTCAGAAGTGCCTAGAACATTCCACCTAGAAAGGGAACTTTGAGGTCATCCATTTCAGGGGCAGGCAGGTAACCCAGGTGACTAAAGATGGCCAGGACATCCCGTGGGAAATAACAAGGGCAGCAGGGCCTCAGTTTCAGCCAGCGAGCAGGGAGTGGAGGCCCTTGGGAAAATGAGTGTGGCCACACCTGCCACTCCGTTGTTGCTAGAAATGCTGACTGAGGTACAGTCTCCTGGCTTCTGATGTGGTTGTTAGTTGCCGTGGAGTCGGCGCTGACTCATGGTGACCCCGAGTCTGACAGAACTTGGCGCTGCCCAGGCCCACAGCTCTCCGTGACTGTTCGGTGTGTTTGAGTTCATTATTGTGGCTGTGGTGTCAGTCCACTTCGTGGAGGATTTCCTCCATTGGCTTCTCATAGTTGACAGCTAATTCAAATGTGAAATGGTTTGTGGGTTAACAACACACCTGCAGGCTGGGTCCAGCCGTGCGTGGCCTTTGGCCTTGCTGAGATGTTTGTGACTTACCTGGGAAACCTGTAGGGAGATGAAGACACTGACTCTGGCACCTGACAGACCTGGGTTGAGTCCTGGCTTCACCACCACCAGCTGTGTGATCCCAGGCACTGAACTCGTTAGGGCCTCTGTTGTTTTCTCTCTCTGGGTGCAGTGCCTTCTGCCTCACAGGGCTCCTGTGGGAATTAAGATGATGGTGGTCAGGTGTTCAGTGCCAGCACGCAGCCAGGGCTTAGTCAGTGGTGGCTTCCCTCTCCGCCCCCTTGGCAGGTGAGTGGAACAAGGCCCCTGTTTGAAGACCTCCCTGCTACACTAGACTGTCCTGTTAAAATCCTAAAGGATGAGCCACTGGTTTTTCCCATCAGTTCATTCAGCAGATGTCTGAATATCCATTACTGTCTGTGCCAGAAATCTGCCTCTGGGCCCTGACACACCCCCTCTGTGTGCTGTGCCCGAGCCCACCGTGTCTCCTTGGAGCAGAGACAGAGAACCTCAGCCCAGTCTGCAGAGCCCAGTGGTCGGGGCACAGACTTTCCTCATCTGTAAAACGATCTCCTGTGAGGATGAAACCAGGTAACGGATGGTAGTGTTGTTAGGTGCCATCGAGCCAGCTCTGACTCGTAGCAACCCTGTGTACAATGGAACAAAACACTGCCCAGTCCTGTGCCACCCTCAAAATCCTTGCTGCCACTCTGCAGTCCATCTCGTTGAGGGTCTTCCTTTTCTTCTCTGACCCTCCACTCTTCCAAGCATGATACCTTTCTCCAGGAAATGGGCTCTTCTGACAGCATGACAGAAGTCGGTGAGATGGATCTTAGCCCTTAGTGAAGTGCTTGTCACAGACTAAGTGCTCAGAGGGATTGTAGCCTCAACACATCACCTGTCTGAAGGTTTGCATGTTGCTATGATGTTGGGAGCTCTGGTGGGGCAGTGCCTAAGGCATTTGATTGCTAATGAGAAGGCTGGTGGTTCAAACCCCCCAGCCACTCCTCGGAAGGAAGACTGGGCGATCTACTTCTGTAAAGATTTACTGCCTTGGAAACCCAAGAAGGGGTCGCTATGAGTGCAGTCGACTTGATGTCAGGGAGTTTGGTTTTGAGTTTGGTGTGATGCTGGAAGCTATGCCACCGGTATCTCAAACATCAGTAAGATCACTTGTGGGCGACAGGTTTCGGTAGCGCTTCAGGCTAAGACAAACCAGGAAGAAAGGCTTGGTGGTCTACTTCTGCTAATTAACCAGTGAAAATCCGGTGGATCACACCAGAATATTGTTGTCGTTGAATTGCTTCTGCCTCGTGGCAGCCCCATGTGTATTAGTGCAGAACTCTGCTCCAGGTTTTCAGCGGCTGATTTTTCAGAAGCTGGTTCTCATGGGTTAGGTTGTGCCCCCTGAAAACGTGCACGGACTTGGCTGAGCCATGATTCTCAGTGGTTTAGCAGTTATATCATGAGGAGCTCTGGTAGCATAGTGCCTAAGGCACTTGACTGCTCACCAGAAGGCTGGCGGTTCAAGCCCACCAGCCACTCCTCGGAAGGAAGGTTGGGCAATCCTACTTCCGTAGTGATACTGCCTCGGAAACCCAAGGAGGGGTCGCTATGAGTCGGGGCCGACTCGACGGCAAACAACAACAACAACAACAACATCATGATGTAAGTTGGCAGTGATGTAACACTGCAGTCATCCTATATTGTAAATCCTATAAGGCAGGGTTAGGGTGGAGTGCATTTTGAGTCACCCTTTAAGTATTGCCTTCCTTAAATCACCTCCCTTCACTGCCTTACTGTGAAGTCATGCCCTTGCTTGAGTCACACCTTTTATAAGAGATAAAAGGAGAGAGAAGTGAGCAGAGAGGGGCCTGACACCACTAAGAAAAAAGAGTTGGGAGCAGAGTGTATCCCTTGGATCTGGTTTCCTCATGCTGAGAACCTCCTAGACACAAAGGAAGATTTATGCCAAGACATGTGGAGAGCTCTGAGAAACACTAGCTCCACACATGTTGAAAGGAGACAGGGACCTTCCTCTAGAGCTGATAGACAAAGCTATCCCCTAGAGCTAGCACCCTGAATTGGGACTTCAGCTTCCCAAACTGTGAGAGAGTAAATTTAAAGCCATCCACTTGTGGTATTTCTGTTATAGCAAAATTAGATAACTAAGAATCAGGGACCAGGAGTAGGGTGCTGCTCTAACAGATATTAAAATGGAGCAGTTTTGGAATTTGGGTAATGGATATGGTAATGGTAAAGGCAAATGGAGGCTGGAAGAGTTTTAAGGTACGTAATAGTGCCTGAGGCATTTGACTGCTAACCAGGAGGCTTGCAGTTCAAACCCATCAGCCACTCCTCTGAAGGAAGCCTGGGCAATCTACTTCCATAGAGATACCGCCTTGGAAACCCAAGGAGGGGTTGCTATGAGTTGAATCGACTCAACGGCAGCGAGTTTTTACAGTTTAATAGTAAAAGCCTATATGTTCTGGAAGAGACAGTTGGTGGAATTATGACGTCAAAGGCAGCAATCCTGGTGAGGGCTCAGAAGGACGTGAGAGGAGTCGTAACACTGGAGACGCTGCGGATGGCCAGGAGCAGACCAGGAGACTGGCGGGAGGCAGGGTGGGAGCCGAGCCAGGGAGCGGAGAGTGGCTGTCTTTAGGCAAGAGGGTTCCTGGGGGAGTCAGGCGCCTCCAGGCACTTACTGGTAGAGGCAGAGTGCTCTGTAACACTTGCCAGAGCAGGGCCGAAGCCAGGCTGGCCTCAGAGGCCTGAGAAGCTGAGAGACCAGGACGCAGAAGCTGAGGAAACAAGGAGCAGAGAAACAGCTCAAATGCTCGGGTCCCAGGCTCTGGGGTCTCAAAGGGCGGGGCCTCAGCCTCCTAGGTTTCAAAGATCTGCACACTTTGTTCCACACCCTCCTGGGTTTCAAAGATCTGCACCAACTTTGTTCCAGAGTGTGGGCCTGCTCTGCTCTCTGATGTCAAGGCCTGTGGAGTGCCAGGGTAATGGGGTCAGATCACTGCCTAAAGCTGAGGGGGGCAGAAGAACAGGCCTGCCAAGGCGAGGGCGTGGGATTCCCACTCAATTGGCCTAGGAGAATGGGGCTGCCCAAAGCCTAGGGAGCAGAGTTGCCGTCCCAGTGGGCCTGGAAGTTGGAGCTGAAGCCCAGGACCAAAGGGCTTCTACCCAGAATCCAGAAAGCGTGGCCGACACCCAGTGTCTGGAGGCAGGGCCGTTGCCTCGATGGGCTGAATTGGGCTGGGTTTGGACCTACTTGGTGCCCACCATCCCTTCTTTCCTTCAGCGTCTCCCATTTGTAGTGGAAATGTCTACCAACAGTTATACTTGGTAGCACCACTGTGCTCTGGAAACAGACAACTTCTACTCTAGACTTCACAGGTTCACAGATAAAGAAGAATTTTGAGCAAGAGGTTTTCCCTCGGATGCATCAAGGCAGGAGAAGTCGGTCCTAATCCAAAGAGTTCCCTTCGAGGACCGGAAGTTAAGGGAACCTGCCAGTAACTGGTGTACTCACCTGTGACCACCTGGGTCTACTTGATGAGTGGAAGTGGAGAAGCTGCAACAATGAAGATCCAGGCTGAGTTTGGACGCGTTCTGCTGGCACCTGTTGACTAGACCACGGAGGCTAGGGATGCAAGAGAAAGGTCTGGCCGATTGGAAGTGCTGAGGAGGTGTGAACGGCCGAGCCTACGGCTGGTACCCACTGACCTGTCTCACAGGGACAAGGGCTGAGCTGACCAGAACTCGACCGAATGAAGAGAAAAACGTTTGGCCTTGTGAGCTGGCGTAAACCACCGTGGTTTGATGGCCTGCTCTGGACTGGACTTTGCTTATAGAAGCAGATGTTCAAATTTCCAGCCAGAACAGAAGGAGATTTTGGACTTGGAGACTTTTGGGATGATAGGAAGGGGTGAATGCGGCAAGGACATGAGTTTTGAAGGGGCCAAAGAGTTGGAATGTCATGGATTGAATTATGTCCCCCGAAAATATGTGTCAACTTGGCTAGGCCATGATTTCTGTTTACAAACATGGTATTTGTGTTACAGCAGCGCTAGGTGACAGAGGTGCCTTTCTGCCCAGCACCTCTTTTTGGTTAACAGCCAAGCATCTTAACTGCCCGCCAGGGACTGCGTGTCCAGTACAGTGGAAAGTGAGCTCATGTTTCACATCGATCGTGAAGATTGCCCAAGACCAGGCAGCATTGGATCCTGTTCTGTTACGTTGACTCTAAGGCAGCCCACAGCGTAGCAGCAGTGATCCAGGCTCTGTACTGATTGTGTGATGACGTTCGCACATACTGAGCACGTGCTGTGGTCCGTGCAGTGTTGTAGGGACTGGAGCCCAGGGGATGCCTCAGACTAAGACCTGCCTGTGCTTGTGAGGCTCTCATTGCATAGTGGAAAGACTGACAGGTAGCAGACAGAACTCAAACACATGTCTGCGGGAAGGTGGCACGTGCCACGGAGACGAGGAAGAGCGAGGAGCTGGGGCGCGTGGGCACGGGTGCGGTTTTACACAGTGGGCTCTGGAATCTCCCTGAGAAGCTGGCGTGTGTCACGAACAGGCCTTGCCATCGGAGAGCAGAGTGGCCTGAAGAGCAGCAGGGAGGTGGTGGGGCTGGCGCCGACGGGGGAGGAGAGGTGGGAGGTAATGGCTGGTGAGGTGCGGAGTGAGGCAGAGCTGCCAGCAGGTTCCTCTGTTGGGAGCAGACTGCAGGGGACCAGGAGACACAGGGAGACCTGTGTGCAGGCGACAGTGGTGGGGAACAGGGCTAGAGTTGTGTCCTGAGAAGTAGTCAGATCCTAAATACAAAGCTGGAGCCAGAAGGATTTGGGTTGGCTGAGGTGTGAGGAGGAGACAGAATTGACTGCAGAGGCTGCGGCTTGAACACTGAAAGGCCTGAGTTATGCTCATGAGAGAAGCCTTTGTAAGGAGCAGAGTTCTCCGGGAGATCGGGGTGCCTGGTGTCCAGTACTGAGGGGGAGTGGAGGAGGCGGTTGGGGGTGTGAGCCGAGATTGGGGTTGAGGTCTGAGGTGGGGAGATTTACCTCTGGGCTGTTTCAATCCCAAGACCACACGAGATGAAGAGGGTGAGTACAGTCTGGAAGCGGAAGCCGTCCCAACCTTGAGCAGGGTTGTGTAACCACGTGGTGGCACGCTACACATGTGGTAGGACTTGGGGGGGGGTCATTACCAGCTTCTGGTGGGTGGCAGGAAGGTGTACTCCAGGAAGGGGCCGGATGGTTTGGTGGGGGCCCTGACTTTTGGAGATCAGAGATAAGGAGAGGGTCTGCTGGTGAGGCAGGGGGACACGGAGAGGGTGGGGACCCACTAGAGCCCATCACCAGTCAGTGAGCCCAGGAGTTGGGAGCCAAGGCTGGCACGTGGCTGCCTGGCGCTCAGTTGCCCCTGCTGCATGACACCTCTGGAGGTTCCCCTTGGTCGCCCCGATGACGGCCCGGGAGTTGATGGGCTGCCTCTCTGCAGGACCTGCACAAAAAGTACTCGTACATCCGGAAGACCAGGCCTGACGGGAACTGCTTCTACCGAGCTTTTGGATTCTCCCACTTAGAGGCGTTGCTGGATGACAGCAAGGAATTGCAGCGGTGAGGCGGGTGGGCACCTGGACACCGAAGGAGGTGGGTGAGGGTTCCCAGAAGGGCTCCCGGGCCCCTCCTCCCTGCTGATGGAGGTACATGCTGCCTTAGGGTTTCCACTTGGGGCGCTGGTTCTGTGCTGGGTTAGGGCCCAGCTGGCCTGAGGGTAGACGGTGGTGGCTGTGCCCTTCGCCCCCCGGCTGGCCTCCGTGGGCCCCTGCACAGTTGGCCAGAGAGCCCATGCTGGCCTCGGTTTCCCTTCCACCCGCAGGTTCAAGGCTGTGTCTGCCAAGAGCAAAGAGGACCTGGTGTCCCAGGGCTTCACCGAGTTCACAATCGAGGATTTCCACAACACAGTGAGCACGGCGCCCCTGCTGGGGCCTCTGCGGGGGCACAGGGGGGTGCGGGGCCGGGCGGGGTTGCCCCATCTCCTTCCTCATCCTGCCCTCTGTCCCACGCCGGTGGCAGTTCATGGACCTGATCGAGCAGGTGGAGAAGCAGACTTCCGTGGCCGACTTGCTGGCCTCCTTCAACGACCAGAGCACCTCGGACTACCTGGTGGTGTACCTGCGGTTGCTCACCTCGGGGTACCTGCAGCGCGAGAGCGAGTTCTTCGAGCACTTCATCGAGGGTGGGCGGACTGTCAAGGAGTTCTGCCAGCAGGTGCCGCCCTCCCTGATTCGGACCCCCGCGCTCTCCCCTGCCGCAGGGTGGGGGGCGTGCAGTGGGCTGGGGGGGGTCTGGGGGCGGGCGCTGAGACCTGGGCCCTGACGCCCTTTGCCGCAGGAGGTGGAGCCCATGTGCAAGGAGAGTGACCACATCCACGTGATCGCACTGGCCCAGGCCCTCAGCGTCGCCATCCAGGTGGAGTACATGGACCGCGGCGAGGGCGGCACCACCAACCCGCACGTGTTCCCCGAGGGCTCAGAGCCCAAGGTCTTCCTCCTCTACCGGCCTGGGCACTACGACATCCTGTACAAATAGGGCCGCCGCCGTCGCGGCCTGCCGCCTTCCCCACTGCCGGGCACTACGACATCCTGTACAAATAGGGCCGCTGGCCGTTGCTGCCCGCCGCCCTCCCCGCTGCAGGCGCCAGACATGTACAGAGGTTTTTTCGTGGTTGTAAATGGTTATATTTCACTCCCCCCCCTTTTTCTGTCATACCACCTTCCACGTTTTATTAAAGGGGATGCTGGTGGTGGTGAGCCGCGTGTGTGCGTGTCCCGCCCGCCTGGCTGCTGTGTATCTGCTGCCCCCCCCCAGGTGGGTCCCTCCTTGCCTCTACCAGGAGCAGTTTTGAGGGGCCAGCCTTCTTGGGGATCCCTCCTAGTTCCTCAGCTGAGCTACAGCCCAGGGGCTTCCCCAGGACTCTTGGTAGTTCCTTTGGGCACTTGCCCAGGGACCCAGTGCTGAGGCGGCTCCCAGTAGCTCCCACACAGGTCCTGCCTCCACCCTGCTGTCCTGGCTCTAGACCCCTGCTTCGTGCCTCCTCCTGGGGTCTGCATGGTTGGGTGGGTCCCCGGAGGAGAGGGCCTCCATGATGGTGGGGCCTGGCTCAGGGCAGGCAGAGGAGGTGGGCCCCACAGTGTACCCCAGGTGGTACCAGCCTGGCTGAGGGCGGGTAGCCCAGGTCAGGGCCGGGCTTGCCAGTGCTCTGTCCTCGTCTCTGCACCCTGCGCCCCCCCCCCAAGCTAAGCCGCCTGCCTTTGCCTGCTTCGCAGCCCTCTGCTTGGGCCACCGTGTGTCTGCGCTGCCTCCCTTTGGCTTCCCCCTCCTCTGCCCACCCCAGCACATGCGGGGTCTCGGCCCCCAGGCTGTGAGCTCCTTGGGGGCAGGCCCTCAATAAATGTGATGTGCAGCTGCCTGCCTCTGCCTTCAGCCCGCACCTCCACCGGCCAGCCCTTGTAAATCACGGTACCCCACTAGGGGCCCCAACCAGCGCCTCTGGGGATGGCCCTCCCCTCAGCCAGTCAGGCACAGATAGCGGGAACTACAACAGAACGTCTTTATTGGGGGTTGAAGGCCAGAACAGGGGGGCGTGGCCCGCCTGCAGGCTCCGGTGACTTCTCAGAGCTGGGAACGGGGTCCTGCGGGCCCTGGCGAGTCTGCGGGCACAGCGAGGAGGTCAGAGGGAGCCGGGGGGTGCCGGCCCGCAGTCCCCCAGGCTGCCTCCCTGGCTTCCCAGCCGTTGGTGCTTGGGGGTGAGCGTGGGCAGCGGGTGTGTTAGTGGGCGGGCGTTAGTGGGCCGCCGCACAGGCCAGGCCTCGCTTACCGTCCCGGCAGGGTGGGTGGGCGTCGGGTGCCATCAGGCTGGAAGGCAGAGGACAGTGAGGTCCCGCCCCGGGGGTGGGGTGGGGGCGGGAGGGCGCTGGCGCCGTGGGCGGGGCCTCAGGATACGTACCCACGGGGAAGTAGTGCGGGAGCCGGTGGCGGTATATGTCCTCGTCCTTCTCCAGGAACACGCAGATGACCAGCCGGTCCACCTGCGCGACGGGCGGCTCAGCCTGGCGGGGCCTCTGCGGCTCGGCCGGTCACTGTGCCCGCCCCCCGCTCCTGCTGCACCCCTCAGGGGAGGGGCTCGTGGGTCTGCTCCCGCCCCCTGCCCCTGGGCGGCGCCGGGCGGGCGGGTCTATGGGGTCCCGCGCCCCCGACTGGGCCCCGCCCCACCTTGTCCTTGTGCTGCTCCAGCCACTCGCGCAGCGCGCACAGAACCACTTCGGCGGCCGCCTCGTTGGGGTAGCCTGGGGACCGGGCGGGGTGAGCGGGCCTCCTTCCCGCACGAAGCGCCCCCGCGCCGGCCCGCCCACCGCCCCGCCCGGCCCTGTGCCCCTCCGGGAGCCACTCACCGAATACGCCCGTGGAGATGCACGGGAACGCCTGGGCGGGGCGAGAGGGGAGGCGCGCATCGTGAGCTTCCGCGCGCTCCGGCCCGCCGCCTCCCCGGGCT